CAACGCAGTCCGCCATTTTTTCCCCTTTTCCTTAGCTGTGCTACTCCCTTTTATTCTCTTGGCTTTTGAAAGCCAATAGAATAGACTCTCTTGAATAGAGTCTAATTCTATTGGCTTTCAAAAGCCAATAGGAATTGTCCAGGCTGTCTCTGCCCTGCTGAGCCCGCCAAAAGTCCCATTCTGGAAACGGTGCTGCACCAGTTGAGTAGTCCTCGACTTACGACCGGTTGGGGGTCGCGACATTAAAAAGGTTGAGAACCACTGCTTTAGAGAGATTGATTGGAGGCTCCTTTAGAAGATGTGGCAGTGTTTTTCTTTTTCTTTTTTGTTTTGCTCTTGTCCAGTTTGTTGTTTTTTATTCCCTGTTCTTGTTTATTATTTTATTTATTTATTTGAATCCCGCCTTTATTATTTTTACAAATAACTCAAGGTGGTGAACATATCCTACACACCTTCCCCCTCTAGTTTTCCTCAGAACAACCCTGTGAGGTGGTTTGGGCTGAGACAGAATGACTGGTCCCAAGTCACCCAGCTGGCTTTCATGGCTAAGGTGAGACTAGATCTCATGGCTTCCTGCTTTCTAGCCTGGTGCTTTAACCACTAAACCACACTAGCTCTCATGTCATATTCTTTTTAACGGGAACCATCCTGTCAGCCCAACCAGATAGATTTGACTAAGAAACCAAGGCTGGGGTTGGACTAGATGACATCCAAGGTCCCTTCCAACTATTATTATTATTATTATTATTATTATTATTATTATTATTATTATTATTATTATTATTATTATTATTCATTGCACAGCTAGCCAGATGTTCAGACTGGATTTGGCATTTTTGTCTACCTATCGAGTCCTTACCAAGGACCTGGGATAGGCAGATGTGGATGTTTGATGGTATTACAAATATCATTGCAGGATGGAAGCAGTTCCATATTATGATTATGATTATGATTTATACCCGTAAACAGCTCTAATAGCAGACTCTTGCAAGTCACTTTATCTTTGTGTGAATTAAGAAGCAGCTTGTTGGAGATTTTTTTTCACGTTTTTTTTTCCTTTTGTTGGTCCTGGCTCAAGTCTCACTTATCTGACTGTTGCCTTGGTAGTGGCTCTTCCTCCTGCCCTTCAAACAGCCAACCACACCTTGGTGACTGAGAATCTCCATAGACATTTAGCCAACCACATACTGATAGTATTTTCATTTTCTAATATATTATAGGTAATTCTGGGTTTACAACTTTTCATTTAGCGACCATTCAAAGTTACAATGGCGTTGAAAAAAGTGACCTAGGACCATTTTTCACACATATGACTGTTGCAGCATCCCCATGGTTACATGATCAAAAATTCAGATGCTTGTCAACTGGCTCAAATTTACAGTATGACGGTTGCAATGTCCCGGGGACATGTGATCACCTTTTGTGACCTTCTGACAAGGGAAGTCAATGGGTGAGCCAGATTCGCATTAGAACCATGTTACTAACTTAACAACTGTGGCAAGAGTGGTTGTAAAATGGGGCAAAACCCACTTAACAACTATCTCAGCAGTGGAAATTTTGGGCTCAGTTGTGGTCATAAGTCAAGGACTACCTGAAATCTAGGATCTTGTGCTAGACTGCCATTAATTAATTAGCATGCCAAAAGATTGGTCTATTGACTTCTGGAATAACTTTAGTTAATACAAATGAACTATGCTCCAATTTACTGCATGTGTTTTTTAACATCATACGCACAATAGATTTTTTTTTGTACCTGGGGTATTTTATGCACATGTTTGAGGAGCAACAGCCCACTTTTCCACCTGGAACCATTTAATCAAAGAAAATTTTTTAATAGTACAGTAGTACCTTGGTACTTAACTGCTTTGAAACTCATCAAATTTGGTACTCAATGCATTTTGTCGTGAAATTTTTTCCACCATTGTTGGTTTGGTACTCAACACACAAGCCAGAACATGTCAGTGTCAGCTGCCTTGTGACTCACTACATTATTCCTTATGGGAAAAATTTTGTCTGGTACTTATTGTGTGTTCTGGAACCAATTAATGATGAGTACCGAGGTATATGATTGGATTCATTTCTCTTCACCCTCACTTCTTAAGCATTGACAAAACTCGAAAACAGAAAACTTTAACTGAAAATATTCAAACTCTTCTCCTTTTACACGATGATCACATTAGACCTCCAGAACTCTTGCATGTGAAGTGGTCATGCAGTGGATGATGCTGCCCTGGGTCAGGAACACAGTGAAGCTTTCAGAAATGCCAGGCTGGCAGTAGCCAGTTTCCTTCTCCTAGTCCAGGGATAGGCAACCTTGGATCTTTTATGACTCGTGGACTTCAACTCCCAGAATTCCTGAGCCAGCCATCTGAGGGGAAACTGACAAGACCTTAATCAGTTATATGCCTCTAGCACTCTGTGCAATTGAAAAACGAGTCTTTCTGATGTTGGAAAAGTATTTTCATATACTTGTATGTGCAGGTTTACGTTTTGGGGCCTTTTCTCCCTGTAATTTTTGTAACAGATGCCATGAAAGTGAAACAATTAGTGTGTCATCCTTTGTCCTCATTTGTCCTCATTCAGCTATCTGGTAACCTTATACAACAAAGCCTCTGCTTCTCTATGAAAAGTTTTGCAGTCATTGTGAGGGGTCATTGTGAGACCCAGTTTCTGAAATCAGTCATGTTGCTATGATTTCAGAAGGTGGACACCACCAAATTGCCATATCCTTCCTGTCCTAAAAATCAGGATGATTGATTCAGCACCACTGAAAATCAGCTAGGCCTGCCCCTGTCCTAGGTGTCAGAAACCATGTGACTTTTCTTTAGAAGCAGTCATATCTGTTGATGTATCACTGGTTCTGCCTCTACAATAAACAATTTTGTGTTTCTGTCCTTTCTTGGAAATTGGATTAGATCATCCATACATGCAAAAACTCAAATATTTTGTGAAAGGAAAAGAAAGTGGATCTTTAGAACTATGTTGAAACTATAGTTGTAAGTTATACTTGCCAAAAAATAAATGTATCAGAGAAACCGAATTTTGTGTTTCGTGATTTTTAAGCACTGTGAAAAAATACCATCTTTTAGGCACAATGAGAAAGTACCATGATTTTTAACCACAGTTGGAAAATACCATTGGACAAATCACTTTTCCTCTATTTTGGAAATGGAGCAGCATGTAAGCCAAAATAAACAAAACAAGCACAGAAAGTTAGGAACCGAAAAGGATCTGAATACCGATCAAGTCACTAGTCTTTCTATCCTTTGGTACCTTCCTGCAAAAAAATAATAATAATAGCAAATCAAGACTTTTCGAAGAAATGTATTGCAAATGACACCACAAGGTGTAACGTTACAATAATACTTGCCTCAAGTATTCTAAAAAGAACACCACAGGGCAAGACATCAGAGACATTGTGTCAGTGCCGTGCTAGGGAAAGAATTGTAAGTGTTTGGGGATCTAACAAAATGCAATACCTATCTCTTCCCTTTCCCAAAGTAAAATTCCTTTAAAATATAATGTAGAAAAAATAATCAACTTACAACACAGATACAAGAGTCAGGAGTTTATTTAAATTGCATCATTTCCACAGCACTCATGAAATACAGATTCAAACAAGTTTTAAACATATATCAATTATTTCACAAATTGTTATGAAATAAAGAATGTATACTTCAGCTTTCCTAACTTGACTATACACATAAAGGGAGATTTGTATCAGTATTTGGGCTGAATTATAATAAGGGAAAATATCTTCCCATATGCTGCTTATGAAAATTAGAAGTTACATGTAGAATAATATCAATTGTAATTTTAAATTACTCTTCATGATCAGCAAAAAAAAAAAATAATACTTGCCTCAAGTATTTAGCATTCTCCTTGAGAATACCTTTCAGCTCATTGGACAATAAAAGGCTCCCATTTTTATAATGCATAAAGGATTCTAGCATTAACAAGGACCATTGTCCTTTTACAAGATCAAATTACACTCACACCAGAGGGAAGTATGTGATTTGATAGGCACATCCTAATACCAACATGCATACTTGCTATTTCTCAATCATGGGCAAAGCAGTTTAGGATGTGAAGGTGAGTTTGCCCTTCTCAGGTATGAATAAATCAAGGGCTCAGTCCCAGAAGTGGCCCTACTATACGTTTTTTCCATATTTCATATGTTCAGCTGGGGGGGGGTCTGAATGACAGAAGCTTGCTTGAACATAAAAACATCTTTCAATGTGATTTGAATGTTTAATAGAGCATAATTCTACAAAAAAGATCTTGTCATTCAAGCAAATGCAGGCACATCTCCTTCAGATCACCCAACTAAAGCTGACAGTGGTCAGAGAAAGCAACTTTAGATTTACAGTAGGTTCATTAGAGTTCATTTTCATTGGTAGTAAAGGAAGCCCTGGGAAAAATAAACCTCTTCTTCAACAACAAAGAATGGCATTTGCATGTCTAGGTGTTCTGAAAAGAAATATTTGAGAAAACTCTTCCATTCATTTTTCTCATGCCACACAGGGACAAGTCAGAATGCGCTTCGGATGTACCTGATCTCATGATATAGGCTCACTTTTGGGAATGGGTTTGATAGCTCAGCTGTGAGATATCTGAAACTGCAGCCATGCTGAGTTTTTCACTGGAAGTGCTGCAAGATCATCAAGGTTGACTCAATCTTCCCTCCTTCGAAGGTTGGTAAAATGAGGAGCCAGATTGTTGGGGCGGGCAATATGCTGGTTCTATAAACCGCTTAGCGCAGTGGTTCTCAACCTGTGGGTCGGGACCCCATTTGGGGTCGAACGACCATTTCACGGGGGTCACCAAACAATGCAGTCCGCTATTTTTTCCCCCTTTTCCTTAGCTGTGCTACTCCCTTTTATTCTATTGGCTTTTGAAAGCCAGTAGAATAGACTCTCTTGAATAGAGTCTAATTCTATTGGCTTTCAAAAGCCAATAGGAATTGTCCAGGCTGTTTCTGCCCTGCTGAGCCCGCCAAAAGTCCCATTCTGCAAATGGTGCTGCACCAGTTGAGTAGTCCTTGACTTACGACCAGTTGAGTAGTCCTCGACTTACGACCGGTTGGGGGTTGCGGCATTAAAAAGGTTGAGAACCACTGGCTTAGCAAAAAGGCTGTCAAGCATTATAAAGCGCTATATAAGTCTAAGTGCTATTATTATTGCTATTTTTCAGGAAGCGTTTTCTGCCTTCCAACTATTTTGCTTCTCCTGCTCTCCAACCCCCTTTGAGGGTAAAAGTTCAGCTATTGTGCTGGACCAAAATTATGGCTCTCTGCATTTCAAAAAAGAGATTGGCAAGTTTTCTTCAACTGTTTTTGGAGGGACTGGCAATACAGAACATGGTGGGGTGAAATTGTGCTAAGATTACAGCCTTGTGCCCATGTTCAGCACCAAGCTCCCTTAAATTCAGCAGAATGCTGCCAAAGTTGTGGATATTCCGGTCCGTGGAAAAGCTTCTCTCCACATAAACGGTACCTGGTGCCCAAAAGATTGGGGACCTCTAGTATAGGGTCTCCAGGAGATTGGACTAGAAGACCTCCAAGGTCCCTTTCAACTCTGCTATTCTGTACTCTACTCTGTAAATATCATAAGGTGTATATGAAGTGTATTTCCAAGTCATCACACATAGGAAAAGGGATCTCAACATATTTCCTTTTTTACTCCCATCCTCGAGAGTCATTTGGTTTTTTTTAAAACTGATGTTTTCAAACACGTTTGAAGGCTGTTGCAAATGGGCAGAATGCGGATTGAAGTGAGGCATGGAAGGCCTTGCATGATGCAAACGACCAGAGAAAGGGCATAATGAAAGACATACCTCTCAGCTTCCTCATTACTGGAATATGTACAGGAATCTATACAAGGCTATACCAGTGTTTCTCTGAAATACTTTTCTCCTTTGGGGAAAAAGATCCCACAGTAATTTTCAAACTGGGTTGAAAAAAAAAAGCAAAAAGAAATGTAGGGCATTGCATTGGTTTTCTAACAGCAGTTCCTCAGTTCCTCAGAAGCAAAAATGTCTAGACTCAATAAAATTTACACGAGGGAAGTGGAAATTAGCTCCTAGTCTTAATCAGGGTGTGATTTGAAGTAGCTATTTCTAATCATATAAATCAAAAACCTTTTGGTTCCGTAAAACTAATACATAAAGTAACCTAGATTTCTGCTGAAGAGTAAGTGAAGACCCTGCATTCATATACCAAATTGGCAACTGATATACAAGTCATAGGAGAAATCAAGTCTGGAAATTTACATTCCCAGGGAAAAGTCTTTGAAATTAAAATCCCATCTTAAAAGAGAAAACACCGCTACCTTCTAATTAATAGCAGGATATTTACCATTGTGTTTATGCTTTGGGTCTTTACGGCAAGCCATTTTGTATTGTCTAAATGAAAGACAATGCTCAACAAGCAAAGTTAGTTATAAAAATGCATTAACACTGCAGACATAGCTACACTTGTGAGAAAGATCTTCAAAGCTGAAGAACATCCAGTTTCCACGCCATCTGCTCAGGTTTCACTATATTCTTTCTGTTCCAGCACTGTAGTTCTTTTTGGCCACAGTAAGCTTCCCAGATATCTTCACAGCCCACAGAAAATCGTAGAATTGAAGTCAAGAGTCTGGAAAAGCCTTTATGATAGAGTCATAAGCGGGAGGCGGAGTTTGTGTTGAATGACAGACCCGAAGACTGTTATTTGGCCAAGTGAATTCTGGATGAGAAAAGCTGTTGGTGGGAGTGCTAGCAAGTGTGGTGGTCGTACTGGTGGGGACCACAGTAATCAACTGACTCTCAGTTTCCACAGGAAGCGGAGGGCATTGGAGAAAAGGATGAAATGTAGAGGCCCGAAAACTTGATTTCCTTGGGAAAGAGTTAGCCTGATCTAAAGATGCTTGCCTTTGGAAGGTGAGGCTAGCTAAACTGAGATTGCTTCGGCCCTCACAGCTGCTGTTGCGGTAGAATCCAGGCCTGCTGGCAACACATCCATGAGCAGCTCTGGTACGTCGGCTGGATGATGAGTTGCTCCAATGGGAAATGTGGGCACTGGCTCTGCGGCCAGACAGGCAAGTCAAAAGGGCCCAGATTATGCTTCCAATGACAAGTCCAATCACCATAGAAACCGAAAATGCTATTATTATTTGATCTAGAAAGGAAAAACAATGGCAAGACAATTAATCACAAATTCAGTGGAAAAAAAAATACATTTTTGCAAAAAGCATGCAGTGGTCAATAGTAAGTACAGCTCTCCTGAAGAAATGATTTTTTTCAAATGAATAGACCAGATTTGTCCAACCTATTTCTCTTTAGATGCGTTGAGATTAAAAGTTCAAAGATTTCCTTCCTACCTTGGCCAATAATTATGCTAACTGAGAATCCAGAGAATTATTCCCAATATACAGAGAGGAAAGATTTCCAGGCCAATCTAAAATCTTTGGAGAATCATGAGGATTAGTCCTTTCTGGGGCCAAATTAAAAAAATAGTTTTTGTTTTGTTTTTAATAGTCATACTGAAAATTGACTGTCTCCCAAGCTTTGGCTGCAAATTGTCAAGATATAATCTTGTAAGATTTCAGCCACCCATCATCATCATCATCATCATCATCATCATCATCAAATTAGGGGAAATGTTGATGCAATTTAGAGAAAAAACATGTGTCATGGTCTCTGAGTCCTTTAAAAGCTTTCAGTAATCTTGTAGTGATCACATAAAAAGAAAGTTTGGAACTACTGAGCTAAAGGACTCCAGATTAGGAGAAAATTTATAGATTTAATATACTTAAGAAGGAAGGAGGATGCAATATGCTGACTAAGGAATTCTGAGAGAATTTCTGAGAAACACTGCTCTAGAATTATTAATTTTGCTAAGTTTCTTGTCACTTAATGGAATATATGGACATGAAAAAACTCTATAAATATATACAGGCCATAATTCATCAAACTTATTTTATAAATGAATATGTTGAAGACAAATAACGAAAATGAGATATTTGCTACATTTTATCTTAAAATGATGGATTATTTATATTAATTTCTATTAAAGATTAATTTATATTAAAGGTAGTGCCCCCTGTCATTTATATTTTTCATGGCTTGTTGATGTATTTATTTAGATAGATTTTTTTATTTTTTTCCCTTATTTGTTGCAATGACAAAATAATAAATTAAGAATAAGGAAAAGAGAGGGGAAAATAAACTTGGGAATATGGATAGCTGAGAAAATATGTACTCTTAAAGAGAAATATGAAATTGTTTACATTTATATTCAAAAGTTTTACTAAGCTATGAGGAAAGCACAAATAAATTAGCATGATTTCAAATAAAAGAGCTCTCCTTTGTTTTATTTATTTTATTATTTAAAATATTTCTGTACCATTTCCCATATCTATACCATTTCTCCTTACAAAATTCAGTGCAGTTTATAACAACTTTCAAACAATTAGAACTCCAGGGTAAAATAATTGATAAAAGTCATTTAGTTTATTCTTTAACGGTTAGTCTAAGAATCATATCAAATAAAATAAGATAAAATATAATAGTTATACACACACTCACACATTAATACACTGTATAAAATATGCAGCCCAAAGTATTAGCTAAAACAGTCTATAAAGCAATTTCAGAAAGTCAAAGCAGCAGTAAAAAGTTTAAAACTAGCAGCATTAGCACATTATTTAAAAAGTCAATAAAATACCTTTCTGTGGGCTTGAAAAACTATGACAGTAACTCCAAATGATGATCCATTTCAAAGTCTAGGAACTGCCACTGAAAATATTTGCTTTTTATAGGCGCTCTTCATCCATCATAAATGGGAGCACTAAAGTGGCCCTTCATATATAGCAGGATTCTATGGGACGTGGTACAGGTTGTCCTTGACTATGACCCCAACTGAGCCCAAAATTTCTTTTGTTAAGTAAGACATTTGTTAAGTCAGTTTTGCGCCATCTTTCTTGCCACAGTTGTTAAGTGAATCTCTGCAGTTGATAAGATAGCAACCCAGTTGGTTTTTTTTTGTTTTTATTCAAATACAAATAATACAAACATAATACATATAAGTGTTCCAATATCTCAAGGGCTGACACAAAGAAGAGGGAGTCAAGCTATTTTCCAAAGTGCCTGAAGGCAGGACAACAAGCAACGGGTGGAAACTAATCAAAGAGAGAAGCAACCTAGAACTAAGGAGAAATTTCCTGACAATTAGAACAATTAACCAGTGGAACAACCTGCCTCCAGAAGCAGTGAATGCACCAACACTGGAAGTTTTTAAGAAGAAACTGGACAGCCATTTATCCAAAGTGGTGTAGGGTTTCCTGCCTGAGCAGGGGGTTGGACTAGATGACCTCCAAGTCCCTTCCAGCTTTATCATCATCATCATCAATTATTATTATTAGTCTAAATTAAAAAACAATATAAAAATACAAATATTACAGTGCACCCTCCGGAGAATATTTTTATTACCTGTATTTCTTCTCATATAACAACTAACAATATACAATATATTTCAATGTGCCCTTATCACCTCCAAAACAGCATATTTATATTCTTGAGTAGGTTTATTCCCTTTGCCTTCCACCAACACTGTTTTTATAAAATCCTCCCATATTTCATTATAATTATTTTCTTTAATCATCCCCTTTTAAAATTTAATGTCTGTTGTTAATTTATCATTACCACATTCCATATTTCATTACACCACTCATTTCTCTGACTAACCCAATTCCGTCTCCAATATTTAGCCATCACTAATCTAGCTGCCATTATCAAATTTACAATCAGTTCCTTTTTTTTGCTTCATTTATATCTTGTTTTTCCACCAGTAACAGTAATGCAATAATATAATTGCTATTGCATTACTAATAGCAACCCAGTTGTTTTAAGTGAGTCTGGCTTCCCCACTGACTTTGCCAGTCAGAAAGTCACAAAAGGAGATCACATGACCCCGGGAGACAGCAACGGTCATAAATATGAACCGTTCAACAAACCGTGGTTAAGCCGAGAACTACCTGCAGTCTTTCAGCTCCTGGGATCTGAACTACGGAGAGCTTTTATACTTAATATCAGCATCTTGAATTGCATCTGGAAATGAACAGGAGCTAATGAACATCCTAAAGACCCAAAGTGTGAGGTGTTCCTTTTGCTTTACCCACTTCTAGTCAATAATGTTGCCTTGCTATTTGCTGTTACATTGTTTTTTAACTTTCTACAAAAGTAGCCTTAGGTACAGTGCACTGCAGTTATCAATTTTTTAGGAAAGCTGTAATAAATATGCTACTTTAAAAGTCTGAAGTCTGAAAATGTAACACTGTTCTGTTGGAAGTGGCTACAGTGGAAATTAAGCTTAATGAGATCACAAATCAAGCCACTAAACACACTATTTGTGTATACTGCCAAACCATTGATCCAACCAAACAAATATAAATCTACTCTAATTTGCAATAGCATTTAAAAACTCTGTTCCTTTTGCATTTAAAGCTGTGCATTTAAACTCACCACCTTTAATATGCATCACTTGCGCACGATAGTTTACTAGCTATGACCCAGGAATTTAAAAAGGAAATAAAAATATTGACTGCCTTTCATGAGTAGAATTCACCTTTCACTTTGCAGAAATTAGGCGTGCTAATCTACTACAGCAAAACTGTTTAGATAAAACAAATATGTGCCACAAGATCCTTCGATCAATTTGCTCTGCAATGTAAGGGATTTATTTGTTGTTGTTGTTGTTAACTGCGAAGTCGTGTCCGATCCATCGCGACCCCATGGACAATGTTCCTCCAGGTCTTCCGTCCTCTATCATCTAAGGGATTTATACAGGGTCCTAAAAATCGGAGAATGTTCAACGAACCATTTCTCTGTGATATGTTTATGGCAACACTGCCCTCTACTGGAAATATGCTTGAATAAAGCAATGAGGTGTTTAAAGCTGTATGAAATAGTAACAAATGCTATTATCTAGAAAGAAATTGGTTTCCTTAGCCTTCTAATGTAATTCAGAAGCTTGTTATATCTCGTCTTAGACAACAATGTAACAGATAAGTTTTCTTTGTTAACATTCCTAATGCTACCTGTCTGATGCCACTGTACAGTAAAACTGTTTTATTTTTCAGCAAGACAGAAGTGATGGGGGGGGGAAACAGATTACAAATGGAAAATTACAGGTTACAAATGGAAAATGAGAGCATTTCTTTATCTCATGAAATTCTACTAATCACGCAAGATAATTACACCATTTAAGTGTTAGTGCTTTCATATCTGCACTGCCCAAATCCAGATGACCATTTAATGAAAGCAGGAACCGAATTTTCTGTTTCTTTTTATTGCTATCTAGTGGTTACTTAAGCATTTCTAGCCTAGATATGGTTCTGCTTACTGAGATACATTTGAAAACATCCTGAGTAGCAACATACGATCCAGGCCCCCCAAACAGGCAAGATCTCTTCTTTTCATTGGCAACTTTAGCACTATAGTTGGGTTCCCTATTTCAGCTGTAAAAATCAGGATGGCCATTAGATGGCAGCCTTCCCCCAAAATTGTTAACTTCTCATTGTACGCAGTGGCTGAAGGATTTATTTCAGAAGCTGCTGCTTTCCCTAAAGCAGTGGTTCTCAACCTGTGGGTCGGGACCCCATTTGGGGTCGAACGACCATTTCATGGGGGTCGCCAAACAATGCAGTCCGCCATTTTTTCCCCTTTTCCTTAGCTGTGCTACTCCCTTTTATTCTATTGGCTTTTGAAAGCCAATAGAATAGACTCTCTTGAATAGAGTCTAATTCTATTGGCTTTCAAAAGCCAATAGGATTGTCCAGGCTGTCTCTGCCCTGCTGAGCCCGCCAAAAGTCCCATTCTGCAAACGGTGCTGCACCAGTTGAGTAGTCCTCGACTTACGACTGGTTGAGTAGTCCTCGACTTACGACCAGTTGGGGGTCGCGGCATTAAAAAGGTTGAGAACCACTGCCCTAAAGTAATGCAGCCCACATTACTTTTGCAAGCCAAATTGCACTTTATTTTCTACATAACTTTCAGAATAGACTGAGTCTTTGTACTATATGTTATTGTAATTTTGTGTTGGGTCTTGAAGGGCCTTATACTAAAATGCTCGGGCCTGGATAGTTTCTTTGGATTTCAACCACTATTCAACATCAGACA